CTCAAAAAATATTGTTCACGCTAAAGCACTAAGAGATTGACTTGCTGAATTACGATCAAATAATAACTTAAAAATTCTGTGTGCCACTTTTGTTACTTTTATATTCCCTCATTGTTCACAGCACTCCTGATGACTTAATAATACATATGATATGTATAATAAAAAGTACATTATATTATAGCAATTATAAATAGGCCCTATATCTTTTACAACTGCTTATTATTATAACATGCCAATTTATGCATAACTTCTTACTTAAAAACTGTTCTGCGAAAATTCATCGCTTCAAGTCGACCATTTGGGCAGAAAAAAAAAACAAGAATGGTTTTCTTGCAGTTTTCGACAATCCAACAACAAAGTACATTCCGATTAATACGATTGAGGAGAATAGGGAAAACACGAAAAATAGTTTTTGTATTTGGGCCTTGCCTATGCTGGGAGCAACACACGTATATGACATTTAGTTTCCCATATGAAAGAGCAATTCCAACAACAAAGGAGCAACGAGAGCAATGGGGCTGGGCACCCCTGCTATAGTACTTACCTTATTGCTATTACTTCAGCATGGAAGAGTCTAAAGGAGGCTCTAAATTATAGCCATCTGTGTAGAAGCATATTACATTCTTGGGTCGGGGTTTGACCTTTCCATTCCTCTCTTTCGGGAATGATGGTGCTGAAAGGAGCTTTAATGTGTTCCTTAGAAGAACAGTAGTCTGTACTGCTAAGAATTTGGGTGTCTTTTAGTAAGAGAGTAGATATCTCGGTGTTGTTTGGACTCCACTAATGTGTTTCTCTTAGTACTGTCTCTTGACTGACGCCACTTTCGCCTGTTTCATACCAGCTTGTTTTAGATTGGGTAGGTTAAGTATGGAGTTTAGCTATCGATGCATTGTGCTGCCGCCACCATACCAGGACGCCGAACATTAATGTGGGTAGGGAGACATGCCAAGTTTTAGATCTATCGCTTTTCTTTCTAGTGAAGAGAGCTATGGCGGCTTTCGTCGATATTTCTTCTATGCTTAAATTCCAATTTAGCTTCCTATATAGTTCCACCCTTACGTACTTTGCGCTGTCACTGAAGGAGAGCTTCTGGTTGTTTTATGTTGGTTAGATGGGATTTTATATTTTCTATTGGAAGAGGACTAGCTCTGCTTTTTGCGCGTTTACTCCCAGGCCGTTTCTGCGTGTCCAGTTTGCCAGGGTTTATATATTTCGCTCATAAGGTGGAAAAGAGACTGAGGGTATTTTCCCAAAAAAATGTCGGCAATGTCGTCCGCATACGGACGCATGTCCGCATTGCATCCTCCCTCTTCCACGTAAGATAGAATCGAGGAGAGGGGAGATGGCTCCTCCTTCTAGTGTTTCTAGCACTCTTTTATGATGTTGTAATATTTATTTAATCAAAATTGTCGAGCTTCAAAAAAATCTTGTTTTTGTTTTTGTTGGCTTCTACTGAGACTGTGACGATTAGAGATGATATTTTGGTTCGATATCTTTTCAACTAAATATCGGTGTTCGGTGTTGCTACCATCTTTCGTCTCGTTGTGGTGCTATTATCGTTGGGTATTTTCGTTGTAGTATAGACGCTAGCACCTAGTGTAGACATCACTGTCCTGAAAACCAGTAGTTGATTAAAGAGACTCACCAAGTGGCCATCTACTTCAAAAAAGTCAGGGCGTCAGTTATGGTATTCAGGAGAACGTTGTTGAAAGCCTCTTTAATGTTCAGAAAGTCCACGAGGGCATATTTATTTTGAGATATGGCTCTTACTATCCCATCCTTACTGGATGTGGTGGGCATTGAAGTCACATCTTATATTGCGCTTTTCGCCATATTCTTTTTTTTTTTTTTTGTTATCTTTAATACTGAAATGATATTAAAAAATGTTGGAAAGATTTTTTCGGAATATCCCTAATTTTTTGATCGCTTTTGAAGTCAGCTGTATAGAAATGTGAAATGTTATTAAAAAGTTACTGTAAAATTAATGTTTAGTAATGGTTTTTGTCCGTTTTTTGTTTTCGAAAAAATACATGTGGGAGGTGTTTATCAGTTCTTTCATGCAGCACTCCTCGAAGTTTGGGAGGAGACGACGCTGTTAGAGATTTAAATTAAATTTGATAACTAATAGAACCATATTTAGTAAAAGTTTTAGATCTTTTTGTAACAAATTTAGTTTATGTAAAAACTTTACTAAAAAGTAAGTAAAAATGGAAATATGGCCCAATCTTGATGTAGGCGGAATGCATAGGCGTCAATCAAAAACAACAAAATTCGATATTCGTTAAAAATAGTTCAACCATATATGCGAAATTTGAGCCCAGTGTCTCTAAAATTGGAGTTTATGCCAAAAATTATTTAAATGCTATATGAATATAAACATAATAACTCATACTACCACATAAGTTGTTATTTGAATCATTTGAAACATTTTCCATTTTAAGGTATTTTTCAATTGGTCAAACTGTTTAAAAATTCGAAAAGCTTGAATTATCAGCAAGATTGCACGCACCACGTGGCAAGAACAGCTCTTTTTCAAAAGCTGGTGCAAGACGAGGGCTCCACAATAAAATACAAATTAAATATTTTCGATGTCTTTGGACTTTTCTTAGCTTGAAATAATTGTAACATTATTGATATATTACACTAACTTTTCAGGTTTTGGCCATAATAAAGGCATTTCATCCCAATGTGCAGTGTTTAGTGTGTCCTTTTTTGTTTTGATCAATTTTATTTATTTTTATTCATTTTCTAATCGTAGATATTTGATAAATATTTATAGTCGAGTATTTCTGGTTATACTATGCAAATTTTAACTTTGTCATTTACGTGGCTCACGAATTTTTTCAATTTTTTCACACAGCCTTTTGCAGGCACTTCTTTTAGGATTTTTTTCTTAATTTTTTATACCCTTGCAGAGGGTATTATAATTTTGGTCAAAAGTGTGCAACGCAGTGAAGGAGACATCTCCGACCCTATAAAGTGTATATATTCTTGATCAGGATCACCTCCTGAGTTGATATGAGCATGTCCGTCTGTCCGTCTGTCTGTCTGTCCGTTTCTACGCGAACTAGTCTCTCAGTTTTAAAGCTATCGTCTTGAAACTTTGCACACACCCTTCTTTCCTTTGCACGCAGTATATAAGTCGGAACGGCCCGGATCGGCCGACTATATCCTATAGCTGCCATATAACTGATTGATCGGAAATGGTATAACTTTGGTGTTTTTAGAGTTAGAGAGTTCAAATTTGACATGACAGCTATTTTTGGCAAAACATTACGTCATGCCAAATTTCATAAAGATCGGCCGACTATATCTTATAGCTGCCATATAACTGAACGATCGGAAATGACCAAACTTTCGTGTTTTTGTAGATAGAAAGCTGGAATTTAATACAGATTCTATTTTTGGTCAGTTGATCCAACCTACCAAATTTCATTAGGATCGGCTGACTATATCCCATAGCTGCCATATAACTGAACGATCGGAAATGGTATTTGGTAGAAATATCAACTTTCGTATTTTTGAAGATAGAAGTTTGGGACTTTTTATACCCTTGCAGAGGGTATTATAATTTTGTCCAAAAGTGTGCAACGCAGTGAAGGAGCGTCTCCGACCCTATAAAGTATATATATTCTTGATCAGGATCACCTCCTGAGTTGATATGAGCATGTCCGTCTGTCCGTCTGTCCGTCTGTCTGTCTGTCCGTCTGTCTGTTTCTACGCAAACTAGTCTCTCAGTTTTAAAGCTATCGTCTTGAAACTTTGCACACACCCTTCTTTCCTTTGCACGCAGTATATAAGTCGGAACGGCCCGGATCGGCCGACTATATCCTATAGCTGCCATATAACTGATTGATCGGAAATGGTATAACTTTGGTATTTTTAAAGTTAGAGAGTTCAAATTTTAGGTGAGAGCTATTTTTGGCAAAACATTACGACATGCCAAATTTCATAAGGATCGGCCGACTATATCCTATAGCTGTCATATAACTGAACGATCGGAAATGACCCAACTTTCGTGTTTTTGAAGATAGAAAGCTGGAATTTAGTACAGACTCTATTTTTGGTCAGTTGATCCAACCTACCAAATTTCATTAGGATCGGCCGACTATATCCTATAGCTGCCATATAACTGAACGATCGGAAATGGTATTTGGTAGAAATATCAACTTTCGTATTTTTGAAGATAGAAGTTTGCGACTTTTTTTAGATTTTGTATTGTAATAAATTGGAGTATATATTCCTATTCCCATAAGGATCGGCCAACTATATCCGATGTTTGCGATATATATCCGGTTTTAACTGCAAGGGTATATAAACTTCGGCTCCGCCCGAAGTTAGCTTTCCTTTCTTGTTTTAGATTTTGTATTGTAATAAATTGGATTATATATTCCTATTCCCATAAGGATCGGCCTACTATATCCGATGTTTGCGATATACATCCGGTTTTAACTGCAAGGGTATATAAACTTCGGCTCCGCCCGAAGTTAGCTTTCCTTTCTTGTTTTTATTTATTTCTTCCTTTTGCCCTTTGTTATCCTCAGTTTGCTATTTAACAATTTGTCCTTGCGATTATATTAATTATCCTTTGTCTCCCTAATTTTGATTGATATTAATGATTGGTATTTGCGATTTTATCTTTATTAATTAGAAGAAGCAATGGTGCTGCTCCCGATATTTATTCAAAATTGATTTTATATACTTTCTTAATGTCTAATTTATGTTAAGTCTTATAGCGGCCTACATTCAGCAGAGACAGCAGAGTAAGAGTCTCTTAAGCTTAGCCGTGGTATATACACATACATGAGTTCGGTTGTGTGGTCCGCGCAAGTGACAAAATGCTGACACGATCGATCGAAGAGACGATCGGTCCCTTAAGTTATGTAAGCACTGAACCAACTTGTTTCTACTTGTCCTACTCTTTGATTCTTTTTTAGTTATTAACAATCTTTATTTTGTTTTCACGCAGAAATATTTCCACTAAATATATTTCTTTTTAGGCTTACTGAAGATGTTTCCGTCTTTGCTAGTTCTGTTGCTCACTTGTATAGTAGTTTAACGAAGCCTTGTTTTGACCTAATGCTGATAGGATTAGCCTTAATGCGCTCGTCTAGAAAAATGAAGGCTAACATTTTGACAGGTTAGTAAACATAAAATCAACAAATTTTTTAAGAAATATATAAATTTGTATTAAAATACGCAGGACCAGCTTTGTCAGTTAGTGTAATTTTACTAACAGCCCACATTTTGCGACATGTCTCCCCGAAATTCGGACAGTTGGTATCTGAAGAGGCTAATCGTTATGGTTACTTACGGCATATTCACTCCCGTATAATAACAAATGCTGAGGAAATTGCTTTTTATGGAGGACATAAGGTAAGACGATTTTTTAATAACATTTTGATTGGGAAAATGTTTTTAAATGTATTGCATTTTTTAATTTTTAATTCGATGCTTGTAGAGTACAAGGGTATATTGCACTGGTGGGCAAAACTCACACATGCTTACAATTTGAGTGTGTTCGTAAGCAGCCAAAAACAATGAGAGCAGAGAATTCGCTAAGCGAAAAAACGTAATTTTTCGTTAAATTAAAAGTTGGAATGGTTAGTGCCCATTATAGTGCATTTTATTTTAAGGAAAGTTTTTCTAGAAACAGTTTTCTAGAAAAAACAAATTAATGGTAGTCTAATGGTCTAATGGTAGTCTGCTTGAATTTCCGGGCCCTGAGAACCTGTCGGGTTCTGATTAAATTATTAAATTAAAATTTAAAATTCTTTAATTAAAATATTAAATTAAATTAAAATTTAAAATTAAACTTAAAAATAAAATTAAATTTTAAATTTGATTAAATTAGATGATTAAATTTGATTTTCTAAAAATTAAATTATTTAATTAAAATTTAATACTTATTGACTTTTTTGCCGTTGGATTGCCAAATAGCACAATCAGCGTTTCAATTGTGGCAAAGGATTGTAAAAAAAGTCCTATAAATCAATTATAATTATAATTTTGTCCAAAAGTGTGCAACGCAGTTAAGGAGAAATGTTCGACTCTAGGTTAGGTTAGGTTGAGGCGGCGATGCGGGGTCAGTCACTGACACCCCCATCCACATGAGCCGCTAGGGCTCCTTGTGGTACCGCGTAGGGAGAGGTCCTACCAGGGAACAGTGGTTGCTCCCATAGGCCAAAAATAAAAAAATTAATAACGGCAAAAATGTACGAAAAGTAAACAAATCGCCTCTTAAATGTGAAAGCTTCTTCATGGCAAACCAGATTTTTCTAGATATCTAACGGTATTTTCTAAAAATAGATTTAAGGATGTGAACAGTTACTCATTTTTAAAGCGTAGCTGCGCGCATCACGAATATTTCACAACTAAACCGAACTTTGAAGTGGTCAGATCATTATTTACGTGCTCAAATTTAAATTATTTGTAATGGATTTTGAAGTTGAAGGTATTTTCTATAAAATGAGATACAATTTGATATATTAATAATAATTATTGTTATTATTATACTTTTATTACTATGAACTAATACATGTTTTTTGCCCATATTTTGAACGTCTTTCTCATGTTTAGCTAAAGTTTTAATAGTGATCCCACTATATTCTACAATTCGTTTATATACCAATGTGTTTTTCGGTCTCCAAGGGTAACAAATGTGTAAAAATTTTTTGCCAAAATTTGCCTATGTCCCTAATATTGTAAAAATACTAACACCATCTTAACTTTTTCAGTTTCACTTTTGCCGAAATATACGGCATATACTTGTTATGCTGTTACTCTGTCTTCGTGTGTCATGCTTGAGTTTATTTTTCCAAAACTATTTGTTCATTTACTAATAGTTTTTATTTATTTTTATATTCCCTTGCATTAAATTTTAATAGGTTCTTCTTATAAGTGTGTGTTTGCACGATCTTATATTTTTAATTTATGGTGCGGCGAAAAAGGAACCAGCGCAGAAAGACAAAAAAATTTGATTGAATGCCTGAAAGCGAACATCATAAAAAACGGCTATTTTGCTGACATGAGTGAACTATCAAAGCGAATTGAATACATATGTAAAAGGATTGTTACATTTTGGTTGAAATACAATCGTACGAAAGCTGTAATTCTCCAAAGTCAATCTGATTGGTTCAAGGAAAAAGAAACAATTCTGTTAAGCTGTGCCCCATCTACATCCAAAAGTTCTGACCGTGGACGACCGAAAATAAATTTCAATGAAGCTTCTAAGCGGACAAAACGACGAAGAATTCCTGAGCTATCACAAGCTGACGAATATATGGCTACTGTATTACGATCATGCAGCTCATCTCAACCAACGTTTACCGAATTTAATGTGGATGAAGTCTTGTCACTCTGTATTGATACAAATATGAGTAAAAATCAATATATGCTTATTCGTAGTTTTGTTAATAGTAAGACTTCCTTTAATTTACTACCAAGCTACGAAAAACTTCTAGCAGCCAAGGCTTTAACTTATCCCAAAAATATCAATGTTAGCGAATCCAAAGCCGAAGTTGAGCTTCAAAGCTTGTTGGATCACACGGCGTTACGAATTATAGAACTTCAAGCTGATGTCCTTGAGAGCATTGATGACGATAGCGTGGTTGACTTGATGTTAATTGGCAAGTGGGGACTTGACGGCAGTTCTGGTCATTCCGAATATAAACAGAAAGCATTGAACAGTAACATTGATGATTCGAATTTGTTTGTGACTTCGTATGTACCACTGCAACTAATTAGTCAGGAAAATGATCCCCAGAAACACAAAGTAATTTGGAAAAATCCGCGACCGTCATCCACACGTTACTGCAGACCAATTCGATTCCAATTCCAAAAAGAAACAACACAATTAACTTTAGATGAAGCGAAATACTTTAGGAACAAAATATCTGCGCTGCAGCCATATACATGTAAAGCATTAACCAAAAATATTTCAATTACACATCGTTTGCAGAAAAGTCTGTAGTGCTTTAAGTGAAACATCAACTTGTAAATGCTGCGTATGTGGCGCAAAGCCGAGCGAAATGAATGAATTGGAAAAATGCTTAAAGAAAAAAGTTCACGAAGAACATTATGAGTTTGGGTTGTCTCCGTTGCACTCATACATTCGATTTTTTGAAGATTTCTTGCATTTGGCATACAGATTGCATTTGAAAACATGGCGAATTTGTACCCCAGAAGGGAAAAAAGCCTTTAACGATAGGAAAACACAAATTCAAGCAGACTTCCGCATCCAAATGGGATTACATGTTGACCAACCAAGAAGTGGAGGTAGTGGAACTTCAAATGACTGTAATACGGCAAGAAGGTTTTTTAGTGACACAAAATTGTCTGCTGATATAACAGGATTGGATGAACATGTTTTAAATAGATGTGCAACATTACTACAATGCATGGCATCTGGATATAAAATAAAAACGGAAAAATTTGGATGCTTTGCACTTGTCACCGCAAAAATTCTAATTAAATTATACCCATGGTATTACCTTCCACCTTCAGTTCACAAAGTTTTAGTCCACGGTCCGGAAATGATACATTATGCGCTTGTTTCGATAGGAGAATTATCTGAAGAAGCTGCCGAATACAAAAATAAAGACATAAAAAAATTTAGAGAACATCAAACTAGGAAAATGTCACGAGTTAACAAAAATAGGGATTTATTTAATAGATTGCTCTTAAGTTCCGACCCTTTTATAACTGGGCAAAGAAAACTGCCATGCTCAAAAAAACAAAATTGTTAAGCGGTGTGCATTTGTTGTTAGATGAATTAAATACATAATACATATATGAATTCGTGATTGTTTTTACTTTTGGTAAGTCTCCACCAGCGTTCTCATTTACAGGTCAAATATTAAATATAGGTCTTGGAAAAAAACAAATTTTTTAAAAGTTGCCATATTTTTGTATGGAAGCTAAAAGATATAGTTATCCGATTTGAACCAAAGTTGGTAAGGATATATATACCTGCACCAAACACGCAATTTTTGAGATTGGTTAAGATATCTTAAAAAACAAAAAAGTTTTCCATACTAAATGTTGATTTTAAACATATTGTTCCTATGGCAGCTATAAGATATAGACGTCATATCTGACCAATTTTTTTACTATACACTTAAAATATTATTTTAGATTTTTCGTATTAATTTCATAACGATATGTCCACTAGAAGTATTTTTGGCAGCGTCTCCATACAAGCCCAACCACTGTGCAGGGGCCTCCCCTCCTATTTGCTAATGTGCCCAGGATTTTGCTATCTTTCCTGTGGCAGCTCGAGGTCCCATCCGAATCTATGAATGAAGGCTACGAGTCTGCGTGGAGCGATCTCCGCGAGGTCTGTTAGGTCCGTGAGTGCTGCTGCGCCCAAGAATTTGAGTCGGCTGCGCCCCAGCGCATGGCATTGATACAGGAGGTGTGCGACTGTCTCTTCCTCTTCTACATCCCCACAGCTCCTTCAGTAGTCATAATGTGGCACCGCTAATCTAGCCGCGTGTGCTCCTATTAACCAGTGCACAGTGGTTGGGCTTGTATTAAGCCGCGGCCATAAATACTTCTAGTTCAGATATTGTAACGAAATTTACACAAAAATTCTAAAAAAATATTTGAAATGCACAGTAAAAAAATTAGCCATATCGTACGACTATATCATATAGCTGCCATAGGAACGATAGGAAAAAAATAAGTATATAGTAGGAAAAACTTTTTTGTTTTTCAAGATATGTAAACCAAACTTACAAATTTTATGCGTGTAGCCAGTTTTATACATGCTTGCAAAATATAGTCCAAATCGGAAAACTATATCATACAGCTGTCATAGCAAAAATTGTAAACAGAAATACAAGTTTCAAGTAATATTCAAATACATTAATAATAATATACTTTTGTAAACAAATTAAGACAATTATTTTATTTGATTAATATCAAATAAAATAAAAAAATATAAATTAAATAAAAAAACAAAGAAAACATAATAGTTAATCAAATTCTTTTAACAATTCTAAAGTTGATTTCTTTAAATTGGACTTAAATTTGCAAGGTAATTTCCTTAGTCCTGTAATAAATGGATCAGAAGACAAAAGTAGTCTGATAATCAACTTGATTAATATTGCATAATTGCAGTTTTCTTCCGTTTGTATCTATTCCAAAAAGTAGCAATTCTTTTGCATATGCAATCAATTCGTTTTGGTAGTTGGCTTAGCTCGGGAATGTAACCGTTCTTTTCAATTTGCTCTTGCATAACTTCAATATTTTTTTTTAATCTGCCAGCGTTGGTGCCACCTTCTGCACACCAAAGATTAAAAATATATTGTCGTGTAAATGCACACTTATGGGAACCTTTAAAAAAGTGAATTTCAATGATATAAGTAAATAGA